TTACTTTGTATCATTGGGCTCATGTTAATAATCAATGAGAGTATGTGGTACCTGGACAGTGGAGGATCGCAACATATAATTGCATAAACTTGTTGCTTAATAAATTCTGATATGTATGTTTCTGATATATTGCTCATTGTTATTTTCTATTCTTTTTTTTTTTTTGGTTTGGTGTGTTGATTTTTTTATTTGCTGATATTTTGTAGTGTTTTTATCTCTGATGTTCTCCTTTTATTTTTTTTCTTTTTGGTCATAACTGAAATAATATTTTATACATTATTTTTGTTTTTGAAAATTTATTATCAATGTCTAACATCTTTAAATCAGTTAAAGGGAGAAACATCATTAATTATTTTCCTTCCTCTAATCTCTTTTAGAGGTGTAATTCTCTTTTATAAACAAAAATTTATTTCAAATTAATAACTAGACTTTATGATTGAGATCTTTTCTAACTTACTACAGTAATCTATACAACAACAACAACAACATGAAGCCTTTATCCCACTACGTGGGGTCGGCTACATGAATCCTTTTTCTCCATTGTGTCCCATTAAAAGTCAAATTCTCGTTAAAATCTAATAAAGAAAGGTCATTCATAATATTTTCTAACCAAGTCTTTTTTAGGTCTACCCCCTACCTTCCTTAACATAAGTCAAATCTAATACCTCTACTCTCCTAACCGGGTCATCGGAAGGCCGCCGTTTTATGTGACCAAACCATCTAAGGCGACTCTCTCTAATCTTATCTTCTACTGGAGCTACTCCAAACTTTTCACGTGTATGCTCATTTTGTATCCTATATCTAAGGGTAAAGCCACTCATCCACCTGAACATCCTCATCTCTGCCACACTTAACTTATTATTATGCTTCTCTTTTAATGGCCAACATTCGGCATCATAAAGCATTGCAAGCCTCACTACCATCTTATAGAATTTTCCCTTAAGTTTGAGGGGTACATTTCTATCGCATAACAAGCCCGATGCATTCCTCCACTTCAACCATCCAACTTGAATTCTGCTGATAATATCCCCATCTATTTCATCATCACTCTGAACAATAGATCCAAGATATTTAAAACGTGTACTCTTATTAATGACTTGATCGCCCAAAGTCACAATCCCCTCATTAGGTCTATTACTACCAAAATTACATCCATATATTCCGTTCCAGATCTACTCAAGCGAAAACCTTTAGACTCTAAGGTTGACCTCCATAATTCAAGTTTACCTTCAACTCATTCTCTAGTCTTATCAATAAGAAGAATATCATCAGCAAAAAGCATACACCAAGATAAAAGAAAATATAAATCTTACATGTTCAATGCTTCTGTCATTTGATCACCTTCACTAAAGATTAGAGTATGGGTAAAATATGATGAATAAATGAGTTCCTTGTAAAGCCCCCAATTGCTCCTTTTCAATCAAATAAATTAAAATCTTTCCATACAAATTTTCTTTTGATGTAAGTATTACCACTCATAGAATAAAACATTATTTATCTTGCTATTTTAACTATGCATTTATTTTTAATGCATCATCAAATTATCTTGATATTTCATGAACCCATCATTAATAATTTTTTAAGGATTTACACACACATCATGAAATTCTTATATATTTACTCATCTAATTCCTAAATATTTATATTTATTTGTTAACATTTTAATGTTTAAATCACATGAAAATATATATTTCATTTTAAATAAGTTAATATTAATGATATTTTTAATGTCATTTAAATATTAAGATATTATATAAATAAATATAAAAGATTTAAATATTCGATATATAAATACATAAAAATTCAGTGATATATATAGACATTGTGCAGGATAGAAAACTCACCTGTCCAAGGCTTCTGACATTTTAATAATTTCATGGGACCATAGGAGAGGATCAGCGTTCTTAGCGAATCCATCCTGTAGCTGAGATTTCTCCCTAAGCCATTGCTCAGCTTTATTGCATTCATTTATGATCTGAAATGAGATGCCATAAGAGGGTTATGAATATGGAGCAGGCCATGATTTTGCTTCCGAATTTACATAGAAACGCATAACTTACCGCATCACGTTCATATGCGGGCAGCGATTGTACAGCCATTCGATGATCATCAATAGAGTTCAAAAGATCCCTGGTTGCTTGAGCTCTTGCTTCTTCATCTTTGCATCTCTTCTCAATAGGATCAACCAACTGCAAGAAACCATGTAAAGTATTCAAAGCTCCAGGTCTCAAAGCACCCAAAAAAACACAAGGCTAAAGCTACAGTAATCATAAACAAATGTCCGTGTATCATACATAATTAGCCTCATCCCAGCTATTCTGCTTCATAAATTCTTGTTCTTAACTTATTCTTTTATGTATATATATATGAAGACGAGTTAATCATTTACATCAAACTTAAGGATGGTTATAAACATGAAGATTATGATGAATAAATTCCATAGATGATCGAAAATGCATAATGGCTATATCAGATTCTTGTTGAAGGACCCTTGAGTAAATGTTAACCTGCACCAGCTATAATGCTCGAGTAAACGTTATTAATGTTGCAGATAACAGAAATGCAAAACATCAGTCAGATTGTTAGTTAACTACACCCTCTAAACTAAGAAAAATTATTATGTGCGGAAGCGGAACCCCGTCCGGATGCCTAAGCTCGTAGCTTGGTACCGCTCAGTACCGTGGTACCGAGCGTCGATACCGCTCGGTACCGCGGCTCAGTATGGATGACGTGGCTCATTCTGATTGGTATCCGGATGTAGAGTTGTGTTCGGCATCCGCACAGAATAATCTCTCATAAACTAAGGCTTTATTTGGGATGGCTTTCTTTCTACTTTTTAAAATAACTTTCTAGTACAAAAAATTCTGCACTAGAAAGCTGCTTTGGTAAGAAAAATCTTGAGCTTCCATAAAAGCCTGCCAGATTGTCAAAATGTAAGACTGGTACTTTTAGCAGTTGTGGAAATATTTAAAAACTAAGGCATTTGGAATTTGGCAGTCATGGAATAAAATCCAATATTTGTTAACATCTGCAACAAAGGATGCCCCAAGAGTGTTAAACCATGTGCTCGATTAATCATTGCAAAGATTTTAACAGGACAAAACTTTCTTCTATAACAAGGCTAAGAGTCCTGGAATAATTTTTGCGTCAAACTGAAGCATTTGATACAACAAAAAAATCCAAAATCTCTCTTTCACGATGGTTCTCTACAGCGCACCAAACCACATCAGGAATTCAAAGACGCAATTTTAAACAATGACGGCAGTTTCCTAGTTTATTTTAAATTTAAGTAGTAGCTTGGGGTAAATAGGATTTTCAAAGACATTTGTTGAAATATTCACATAGATTCGTGTCCATTCTTCAAGAAAGCATAAATAAGGAAAAGATGTCATTATTTCATCCATTATTTATCTGCGAAATATCATAAAACTTTTTTTTTAGTTAAGAAAGTTGTTCTAAAGTTTTACCATTATTATATTATCCAATTAGATGCTCAAACAACAATTTAGATATGACAACTTCTAAATATTCTAGTTATTAGAACCATCATCCTCCCTCAGCCACTGGCCACAGATATAATATAAAAGAGCATGATTCCCTTTTCCGATTTTAAGTATTTTTTTTAGTTTCATATGACTCTTGATGCCATAATTAGAGGCCTGAGCACAGTATGTCCTGCTATTTGCAGCCTAAGAAAGGGGAATTGTTATATGCTCTACATGTGGTCAAGAAGAGAAAAGTAACCGGCTCTATTACCTTTGTCAATTCATCAAGCTTGGCTGTGTAGACCTTTTCAGTTTCATCTACACCATCTTCATAAAGCCAATCTTCTGTCTGTTTTAGGCTACGAGAGATGTCTTCCTTTTCTTTCTCAGTTGCAAAGCTTCTGTATCTCTCGAAAAGCTTTTTTCATAGAGGAATTAGTCAATAAATTCCTATTAAAGAAAGAGCGAAAACTGTGTTGGGATTACCTTATTGCGGACTTCATATACATAAGCTTCTAACGCATTCTTTTTATCCTTGGTTTGCTCCATAACTTTGTCCTGATAGGCTAGTAGCTTTTCTTGCTCTTGAGCTTCCACTAGTTCGGATTTACTCATTCCACCAAACAAGATCTCAGAGACTGGAACCTCATGCCTTCTTGAATGCCTACTGTTGCTCGGTCTATCATGCTGCATATGACAAAATTCACAGATATTAAAGTATGTAAATCAAGATACCACACAGCAATTATTTTAAGGATAGGTGCCACCTAACATTGCATTCCATCTCTACATAAGCTTAGTTATTAAATTATTTACTTGTTACTTCATAACTATCCAAATTAATGGTTATGCATGATAATTGACACAATGAGTAACAAATAATATGCACAACATATTCCATTTGCTGCTCTTTTAAGGTTCGGACAACCTTACAAAGGAGAATATGTATTTTGTGTGTTTAGTGCAGCAAGTAACATGAACAAGGCTCTCAAGACATAAGTGAAGAGGGATAACTTCAAAACCATCTCAATGTTAGCAACCTTACCATTCATCAAGTGGTTTAGTATGTAGTGCTACCTAGCAACCAAAGGGATTGCTACATATGTTTGATCTTTAAAAATAAATACAAGTCCTATATATCTGCATATGCAAATATTGAGTTTCTCTCCCTATGTATATCTGTAAACACAAATATAAAGATGCATACTAATAACAATACGATGATCTGTAAGGATACAAACACAAAGGTGCACATGCACACAGATATATGAGAAAACATATATACTTTTCTCAACAAACTACATACATGGACATTAAGATCATCGTTATAATTAGCCTTAATCCTAACCATTGGTTCAATTTAGAAATCCTGCTCATCCATTCATTCATACTAAGAGCTGCACAAAGTATCAACTCTATTTTACAAAGTTCTAACAATATTACTTTCTAACACCTTTCTTTCCCTAATCGTTCCACGACAACTCTATCTACATGCCTTATTAGTGCATATTCTGCTATTATTGTATAAGCCAAAATCACACAAGTCAAAAAGGAGATATTCTCAATATCCCTCTAAAATAATAATTATCTATCCACATTAACATTCATATTTTTGTCACACTGAACTTAGTTATCAGTGGCCTTTTTATTGCAACGCTACTCCATATGGTGCTGTAAGTCTAATTGCAATTTACAATATCTATTTTAAAATCTTAATCATATCCTCTAAGTGGTTAGTATCACTAAGGCGCTTTACTTGAACTAAATATTTTAATCACATGACTTTAACTCTAAGAAGCATCTCCTCATCTACATATATAGGCTTATGAATCAGGGATTAAAAAGTACTATAACACCTTTTTCAAACTCAAACATTATGTATCTGGCAGCTCCAATATAATCAATCTCTGCATGTTATATTAGCCCCTTCAGACCAACCTAACCTACCTGAGAAACATCATGTCCAGAATTGACAACTTGTGTCCATTAAACCATGCTTGGCACCAAATACATTCTCACGAACTCATTCTTACAAACCAATCACTTGATCTGCTACGCTTACTCATCATGTTCAATCATCACTTAAGTTTGTCATCATTCTATGATATATATGCATGTCAACCGTAAAGATCACACCACCCTGTCAATCACCATCTCGCTCAAGTTTATAAAGACCCCCCTGCCCCTCTTTCCAAAAAAGCTCTCATAGCATACCAATTGACAAAATTGGCCATTTTAATTATAAAATTATTTGTGCCACCATAACATAATTAGACCATATGAGAGAGCATGTGTTGTCTCAACAAACTCATTCATTGACGTTAATATCATCATTGTAATTTGCTTTAACCCATAACCAATTTGGGTAAATTTTACAAATCTTGCCCATCAATTCATTAACACTAAGTGCTAAACAAAGTATCAACTTTATTTTGCATTAGTTCTAACAATATTACCTTCTAACATTTTTGTTCATAATCCTTCTATAGAAACTTTATCTGAACACTTTATTAGTGCCTATTATGCTATTATCGTATAATTTAAATTCACGCAAGTCAATTATATATTTATACTAGCATTCTTATTTTTTCCACCATCAATATAGTTATCAGTGGCCTTTTTATTGCAACACTAATCCTAATCCATATAGTGTTGCTGATCCAATTGCAATTTACTTGTTAGCATTACTAAAGCACTTTATTTTAACTAAAGATTTTAATCACGTGAGTTTAACTCTAAGAAGTATATCCTCATTGATATTTGGCAGCTCTAATATAATCAATCTCCCCCGGTTAAATTAGACTCTCTTGGATTACCTTACCTACTCGGGAAGAGGCATTGCCCAATGCTCATGAGTCGTAATTAGTGTACATCAATCCACTCTTGGCATCAAATACCCCATTGCGGATTCTTTATCATCTAAGATTTTGACATTATTCAATGATGTCTACACATGTCGCCCACAAAAGCTAGACCACCCCATCAATCAATGCCTTGCTTGAGTTTGTGCCCTCCCAAATTAGCTCTCAAAGCCTAACAATTGCTAGAGTTGACCTCCTTAATCAGCAAATTAATTGTCAGGCCATATTGAGACATTCAAATCCCCAGATTTTTTATCCATCTCCCTATAAGACATGAAATTTCCTATATAACTTAATTGTTTATTAGTAAAATCTCTCTCTTTACACCATAGTCTTCAAAGTTCAACCACTTAAAATCTTAAGCTCTCTCTCTGTCTCACATATTACAACCTCAAAAAAAAAAACAAAAGTAGTGTGACACAACAACCCCCTATCTTGGTGAACATTTCTTCTTTATCTCATCGAGCATCCTTCTCCATGTGTCACCCATCAATCTCACATTGAGATTTTACCATTCACAATTTGGTGCTTCGTTTATCCATGGAGTATAAAGGAAAGCTGACAAAAGCGACCAATCAACAGAGACCCATAGAGACCTTAATCATGCAAAAACCTTCCCATAAATCACATTGGTGAGAAATTAACCCAATGTAATAAGTCCTCCAACCCAGTTGAACCTCCTTAGTTACCCAAGCAATGTTCAATGAACTATTAACAAAGATAGGCTTCATCATATGAGGAGTGGCATGCTTCGATCCTATACCATAACTAATATACAATGTTGATTCCTAAATTTGAGTACAAGAAGATAATCAGTTGGTAGACCTCCTCGTGAAGCATGATAATGTTAGACCGACCAATGGACCGGCCCAGCGGAACAGAGGCAGAAGAGTCCGCCTCTTCCTGTAGGCAAGATCCGACTGCCGATCCTCACAGAGCCATTTAGGAAGGTTTTTGAAGTGAGTTTAGGAGGGAAATTGAATGTAGGGACTGTTTAGAGATTTCATTTTGAATTGTAAGCATTAAATAGTTTGTTTTCCTAGGGTTAGGGCATCTTGAATTTGGTTGAAATTTGAGATCTCTAAGTTTGTCTTGGGCTCTAGCGACGTGTAGAGATTGGGAGAGATCAATCCTCTTGAATTGAGGATCACTTATAGCTTGTTTGTTTTTCTTCGGTTAATTGATTTTTTGCAATAAAATCTATTGTTTCTCATGATTTTCATTGAAGTTTGGAAGATTTTTCTCGTTGTTTTTTTTCCGAAGATTAATAGGAAATAATTGAGATATTATAATTGGTATCAGAGAAAGCCTTGGGACCGTTGGTGGGCTGATTTGACAAATTTCAACTGCTAAATTTTGGTCAGTGAAGGCGTAAGTTGCTGTTTTTTGTGATCCAAATCCAGATTTTTTAATTTACAATAATACAGATAGAGATGACGACTAAGAAAGTAGATGCGCTGGAAGAAAGACTTGAATGGGAGATGAATCAAATCAAGATAACGATGGAAGAAAAGATTTCCTCCATCATGGAAGGACAAGTAGCCGATCTCTAGGACATGATGAAGAAAATGCTAGAAATCCACAAGCAAACGGCGGCTTCCGTGGCAAAAGAGTTGGAAGGGAAAAACACGAATTCTGAAATTCGTAGGGAGGAAGATGAGGAGGAGATTGTGGAGGGAGAAAAAAGGAAACCCTATATGGAGCATTTCCATAGGGAGGATAGAGGAGATAGGTATGGGTAAAGGCATGGGTATGGAGGGGCGGAGCAAAGGGGTGCTGATTGGGAATGTCGGGAGGGACATTATGACGGCCGAGGTGTTGAACTTGAAGGAAGAAGAGGGGAATTCGAAGGGAGTTTAGGTTACGACAGGGCAAGGTAAGACCGGGAGACGTGGGGAGGGCCAAGCACTTGGGAGAGGGGAAGCTACGGAGGAATAAGGGGAAACGAGGGAGATTAGAAGGTGAGGAAGCTGAAGATGCCCATATTCGAAGGGGATGATGCGTATGGGTGGATTTATAAGGTGGAGAGGCACTTCGCCATCAATGGGCTAACAGAGAAAGAGAAGTTGACAGCAATAGGCTTATGTTTGGAGGGGAAGGCGTTGTTATGGTACCAGTGGAGAGACCAGAGGAGACCCATCAGGAGCTAGGGAGAATTCAAGGACTGCATAATAGAACATTTCCAAACTGACCGATGAGAAGAATTCTATGAGCAATTATTTGCTCTAGTGCAGGAGGGATCAATAGCAGACTACCGTGAGCAGTTTGAGCACCTGGCCAGTAGAGTTGAGCAATTATCAGATATTATATTGAAGGGGAACTTCATGAAGGGGCTGAAGGCAAAGATCAGAGCGGTAGTGAAAGTTATAATGCCTCGTGACTTGGGGGAGGGCATGAAGTTGGCACAACAAGTGGAAAATCAGAAGAATCTAGAGAACGGAGCTAGGAGCAACAGCTCAGGAGGCACTTACAGGATGACAAGCACTCTTCTAACACCCAAGGGGCATGCATCAAGCAACATTAATGAGGCTCCCAGAGAGAATCCAACAGGAGGATAAAGTGGGGGGAACTTCAAAAGACTAGTGGAGAGGGAGATGTAGGAGAAGAGGGCGAAGGGATTATGCTTCAGATGTGATTAGAAGTATACTCCAGGGCACAAGTGTAGGAATCGAACTTTTCAGGTTCTCACCATCTGTGATGATGAGGAAATTGGGGAGGAAGGTGAGAGTATGGAAAAAAAAGATGGAGGACAGGCTGCATCTGCACGTGATGGAGATCTCCCTGAATTCAATGGTGGGATTCACTCTGAATTATAACATGAAGATG